TATATATATATATATCATTAGTCTGGAATATTATTATCGTATAACGCACATGTCGAAAATTTTCGAGCACAAAGATTGCAAGTTGAGAAAGAAGAGAATTACAAAAATATATTTCATTAATGTAACAGCATTCATTAGCATCGTGATGCGTGCTTAAATAAACATCGAAAAATTTTTATGCATTCATACACAAAACTGGAACGACTTTTCTCATCGTAAACCCGTGGGCCGAGCACGTGCCTAAGGTTGGATAATGGGAAACGAGAAACAAGGAGTATGAGAGATGATGGGCAGGAAGGTGAGGAAGGGAGGAGGAGGGAAGATGAGAAGATTATGCTCTTGGCAATGGTGCGCAATTATAGAACACGCGGCAAACTTTCGCAATATCTGTACCCAACTTTCGTTGCTTAATACAGACTGCATTCTAAGGCGTGAGTAGCTTTTTAACCTTAGTCCGCTCGTTCCACCACTTCTTGCGTATATATTAGCCATTCTAAATGCCGTCTCTCTCAGACTTTCATTATACACGAATGCACCCTTCTGCGAGATTCTTGTAGCTTTAACCAATGACCCGCTATTAATAATAAGCATAATAATAAGCAGCAAAAGTCTCTACTGCATCTTCATTCCGCATTCATCTCAACAACAAGCTCTTTTCATATATAACAAAAAGGATCTTAATGAAACTTATAAATAATTATAATATAAAATAATTAATCGATTATTATAAAAATGTAAATATAACGCGCTTTTTGTCTGTAAAAAAATTTGTCTGTAAATAATTACACTTATGATTATTTCATAATTTATGTTATTTTATATATGTCAATATATACCTTTTAATATATGACATATTTGAGTATTAACCTTTTTCGAAATGAGCATTTGCGTTTGTTTAACAATAATTGTTTAACAATAATTTTTTTTATCGATTTCTCACACGTCGAACAGATATAGATAAAGTGCACGAATTTCGCGCATTAAGAATAAAAAACCAACATTTTTCAAACGTGAAAGATTAATCTCCCCTCGGGCGATAACGTTGAATTGCGATGAAGTGTAAGCGCGATATACGTGTATACATATATATATATATATATATACCGTTCAGGCTATATATAGTTCAGATGCAAGAGTTTATGAATCCACCGCTAGGTGTCCAAGGAGTCAATCTGTTACTCGTGTTTAAAATGTGTCACCGATGGGAATAAATGAGAGCTCGTCGTAGCTGAAAGCATACTTACCTGGCGCAGAGGTTACCGTGATCAAGAAGGCGGTTCCTCCAGGGCGAGGCTCTTCCATTGCACTACGGTTGAGCTGACCCTTGCGAATATCCCTAATGTGGATATCTCGGGCGTACAATTTTTGATAGTCGGGACTGCGTTCGCGCTATCCCGGTGCTAACCGAAGTCAAACATAGTATTTGGGAGCAAATATTGCCTGAAGTCAGAAGAGGAGGAGGAGGAGGAGGAGGAGGAGGAGGAGGAGAAGGCAGTGGTGCACATTCGAACCCGAGCACACTGCTTACGTCGAGCACGCGTAGGCTCCACGGATAGATAGAGTGTCTCTGTGTGTGCGTAGAGGGGAAAATCGCCAGCGTGCTCGGACTTGAATTCGCACCACTGGGAGGAGGAGACAAGAAATGATGTTTCTCTTAATAAGGGTAGATCTTGGAGAAAAAGTATTTTTATCGTCCGCGAACAAAAGATCTTTCCCAACTCCTTATATAAAGAAAGTTATATTTCGTGATATTTTATTAAAGCTATGTGTCACTCTCCTGTAATATTTTTGAGATTTGTTTACAGTTATTACTTTTTTAATATTTCATTTAATATATATATTTTTTAAATTTTCTTAAGAAATTAGATGTTCACGCAAAGCGATATACAAGGCAAATAATAAAGTAAATATAAATAAATAAAGATATGTTTGAATAAAACATATATATATATATATTTTTTTTTTCTCATATATTAACGTTGTAGAGATAAATATATATTTTAATATATTACTATTAATCGCAGCAATGATTAAGTATGCTTCAAATATTTTTCTGGCTTTTTGAACTTTGCCAAATATGTATTAAATTTCTACATTTTCAACTTTTCATTTTGTAGCATCCTTTGTCTAAACGAATAATGGTGAATGTGATTGGAAATTTATTCTTCAATTTTTTCATATTTTTAACAATAGTGGTATTCATCCTACATTGTAGAATCGATAACGATAGAACACATCGGATATTCGCGCTCGCATATACAAGGTGTCTTCTTGAACTCGGTGAAAGACTGCAACTGATAGAGAGAACTCCAATGTTTCTGATATAACGTCGAAGCAACGTTCGCTAGTAAGATCGATCTTTTTCAATGTTATCGCTAAAAACAAGTCGTTTTTCCATCGAATGAACACCAAGGGTAAGACATCGAACGGCTCCGTGGAATGGCTTCGTATACATTACCGTTGTATACCGGTACGAATTGTTGCCCCTTAAATTCCATTAAAAGCTGCAGGCACTAAATCGTGGCGTCCCGTGAGAACAGCCGGGGCATGCGCCCGGCCAGGTGCCGGCTGCTGCGGTTCCCGTGGGAGGTGCGCCGAGTACGAAAAGCAAGGACGACGGGACGGCGAAGGCGCAACATAGCGCGCGCCTCGTTACGTTCTTCTCGCGTTCTCGCGGGGTTGGAAACTCGGCTCAGTTGGATCGCGACACCCTCCGCCGAAGGGTCGGGTGCGACAGGGTCGCTCGTTTGTGGTGATCCGCGAAAATCCGACCGATGCGCGTCGCAGAGTGGCTCTCTTCATGGACATCCCCACTTTTATCCTCCTCGAGAATAAATGCAACGCGATAATCGATGACGACAACGATTGTCACGAAACAATTTTAATTAATTGTAGAGAAACATATTGTAAACGAGATATCAAGGGTTATTCGATCGAGGAACGAGACAATTATCTTTCATTTTTGTCGAAAGATCCGTGACCCGTGAAAAAGAAAAAAATGTTTTGACTATGCGAATTTATATGTAAAGTGCGCTCTCGCAGAGTCGCGCGATTTAATGATCGGTAAATGTCCACACCGGGAGCGTGATAAACCACGAATTGATTTCGAGCATGAACTCCATTGAAACCGTGAAGCTATTCTCTTCGAGGGACTAGAGGCTGGGACTAGATTCTCCTGGTAGGCAAAAGGCAACAAACAGATCGATATGCCGATGATCAATCACGCGCGCGACGAGTCACTGTAAAGAGAACTCGAAATCGTCATCGAGGCACGTGGTGTTTCGCGATCATCGGCTGGACGAAACGAGAACCAAGGTCGTCGTGGTGGCCGGTGGCGGTGAGAGCAAGGTCGTCAGGGTCGCGGAATCGCGAGGAGGATGTGGAGGAAGGACGCGACCAGGCTGGCCAGGCTGATCGTCATCGCCACGCTGATCTCCCTGACCGTCGACGGGACCGCCGCCGGAAGTTGCAGCTCGGCGAAGCTTTGCTGCCAGGGCAGAGACTCGGGCTGCGTCATTCAGAAGGAGTCGCCGAACGCGATCATCGAGAGCCCGCGCGACAAACCGTGCTACTGCGACCACGCGTGTCTCAAACTCGCCGATTGCTGCGACGACTTCAAGGAGACCTGCGGTGGTACGTGCGATCTTGCACGCCGACCTTGCACGAAAAGCCCTTAATGGCGAGATTAATGCGAAAAAAATGCGCGATGTTGCACGTCTGAATAATGTATCACGAAAAAGATTTTGTTAACATGATTTTTTTTTTTTTAATCGGCTGGGGAATAAATTATTATTTCTTCATTTTTGTAATTTGAATGTTCGGTCAGCTTGCTAAAGATTTATAGTCTGATTCAATTTTCCATGTTCATTTAAAATAACAATCGGGACATATTTTCTTTGTGAAAGAACTAGAGAAAAAAGTATAAATGTTTTATATACATTTTACAGCATACAAATGTAAAGCTTAATTAAAGATACATTTTTTTATAATCGTTAATTATAGACAAGAGAATAAATTTTATAATACATATTATAAATTATTTTTATTTTAAGAGAGATATAATTAATGCAATTATGATTAACATTCTTTTAGAAATTAAACAATTCAATATTCAATTCATTAAATATACAAAATAAATATTGCAAAATAAATATTTATAATAAAATTTGATAAAATTATAAAATGTAAAATGTAAAAGATACCAATGCATCAATTAATCAAACTTGAAAGCATTCGAGAAATAATCAATTCTTATAAAAAATTCGCACGGAATATTAATTAATTAATAGAGGATGGTCGTCTCTACTTATTCCTATTAAGCACGCGCTTAACATACACACGGACACACACATAAACACATATCCAACGTGGATTTTGGATTATAATGGATCTTACGAACGTATCTTACGTACTTGCTTTAGCATCTTAACACGGATAAACTGCAGACAGCTTTGATCATTAAATAACTTACAATAAGCTATACAGTTTTTAATTAATATTAACAAACGCGTCATCGAAAAATCGTTTTGTCGACGGAGAATTTTGCGCGTGGGAGCTTTTCATCGCACAGTGAGTCCATTATTTTTCGTTCTTTATATCGATCGTATCAACAACGTGTGATATATACGATTTGTTTTTTTTTCTCTATGATACCTTTAAAACCAATATCCACTTCCAATTTTCGATCAAAAAGCAAAGCAACCACACATGACCGCTCAAAAAGATGCTGATGCTGCGTTTCCACTAACATCAACCCGACGTCACACGTTTCGCGAGAATTTAATCAAATATCGACCAATTATCAATTTGACGTATTGATACATCGCATTTAATAGAAACCGATCTGTCCTCCGTGATCAAAACGCTTCAAATGATTACGTTGTATCATCAAACGCTGATTAATCTATCAATATATAGGATGTCCCACAGAACATGTCAAGATATTTCATTAAGAAAATTGAATCGCTGCTGAAATCAGCCGTTTAGTATAATCAATTAAAAGATTTTTTGGAAGTTAATTTTTTTAACATTAAATAACGATCAGATATCAAAAATAAAATATTTAAACAATTAAAGAGATATAATGCTTTTTTTGTGCGTATATCTCTTTTGTGCGTGTGTCTCGCATTTTGAAGAAATGGCCTGTAGGGAATCATTCCACGCGAAGGTAGGAAGAATTATTGCCGCTATATTGCCTAAATAAACATGATAACGCTGACCGACAACCCCACAAGCTCTCTCTTCCTCTCTCTCTCTCTCTCTCTCTCTCTCTCTCTCTCTCTCTCTCTCTCTCTCTCTCTCTCTCTCTCTCTCTCTCTCTCTCTCTCTCTCTCTCTCTCTCTCTCTCTCTCTCTCTCTCTCTGAAGTAAAGAATATTGTCTCAAATGTACTTCGTAATTTATAGACTAAATTTCTATACTCATATTTTATGGATTTATAACACGATTAAAGAATGATATTAGCAAGTTTTTTATCTTTTTGATAATACTGACTTTAATATTTTTTATATTAAACACTTGAATATCGAAGAATAAATTTATTTTTTTTTTACAAATTCGACATTATTATTTAATCGCTGTCAGGGAGCTCTGCTAACAACGGGCGGTGTCGCACATATTTTATAATATATATCAAATTTTTATTAACCGTATTTGCATAATAGACGGTCTAATTATTCTACATTGTTGCACAGTTGTTTGAAACTGTTCGAAATTTTATGGCTCGCCGACGCGCTTGTTAATAGCAAAGGGATTAATGTTATTCAATTCACATTTCCGTTCGTTTAACGTGGCTCTGTTTTACCGGTTTAATTGCCAGATAATCGACGTGCATGCGATTAAATTGTTCGCTAAACAACAGTAACAATGTCGAATAAAATTTGCATTATACGCCTATTATCGCGGATCAATTATGAAGCGCGAGATATTTTGCAAAGCGAAATTTTCTCACCGAATATAAGAACGGCTCGATTTGCATTTTCGTTCATTCGGAACGTTCATCTTTAATACCTTGATTCCCGTCATTTACGATACTATATGAGAGATCTGGTATCCGCCAAAGCTAATGCTGCACCGGAACGCGATTATTCACGCTCGTCGGCCGAAGGGGAGTGTCATTCCCTCTCTGACTCGAAGATGTAACGTCGCAGTAGTTGCGGCTCGAAATCGTTTCTCGTGAGTGGGACGCAAAAGCCGTCCGTCTAGAAGCGGGATAATCTCGAGCCTTCCCAAGCCTCTCGTGGGCTTGAAACGGGGGAGACGCGAATTTACATATTTCGCAACGAGAGATCGAGACGAGTCGCGAGAGCGACGTATTTACTACAGCGACGCACACACCCGGCACGTCCACGCCCAATGAAATGCAGAGAGATCGCGCAACGAAAGGAATACTCCGGTGCGATCGTAATATCTGTTCGCGACGCGGGTTCACGTTAGAATTAGCCAGCTTCCTCATCATCATTTTCTTAACGCGTCAAGAAAAGCCGGCACCAAATTCATTCTGCGAAAGCAGCAGCGTGAGCCGTTTTGGATATAATAAACCAAAAGGAGGGGGTGGGGGGAGGGAGGAGGGGAGGAAGTTGAGAAACGAAAATGATCCCGCTAAGCCATGGTTAATGATAGTAATAACTTCGACAGGAACTTTGGGAATTTATCTTCCTAAGTAACTCGGGGAGAGAGAGTCGAATATTACACGAAGGATTCTCATCCCCCCTCCCCCCTCTTGGCTTAAGTGCGAGGGACGCATTTAAGTTCTGACGACACTCGTGTACAACACGTGACATCTTATATCGATTGTCATAGAGCAGCGACAGTGCATTATCTTCCCCCGTTGTCGCTCGACGACCGGCTGGGTGAATCCCCAACATCAAGTATACGTCACTCGACCATTTCGCATTCGCCGGACCGACGGGCACGCGAAATAATTTAGCTCGACTAGCATACAATCGATCGACGAGACCAGCTCCCGGTAGCGATCGTGCTCGACGAATCGACAGCTGGGGGCCGCGAACTGTAAACGCCATATAACTATAAAAGAAGCAATAAACAAGTAGTTATAACTGCACTGCAGTACAGTTCTCGACCTCGCTTGTTCTCGGCGGCCTAATGCAAAATGCAGCCCGAATGTTACCCCGCAGCTGCGGCTGCAGCGCGAGGCCAGTTCGCTCTCCCTCCCCATGAAATATTCCTCTCATATTTGTGACTGTCCGCCCGACCGATTGTATAATAAATCTTATAATAAATTATCACTGATTGGAAAGCGAGGAATGAGAATGGCGCACGCGAAAATTGAAAATGCTAATGATTATATTAATACATCAATATGCGCGTGCGAGACGCACAAATGTGTTGCGATTACATTAATTACATTAATAAGGTAACATACGTCATTTAATTATACGCCATTTGCGATAAAATGCGAATATAAAATTATACCAAGTATTTAATTTAATTTTATTAATTCCTGCGATATACCGTATTCGCGTTCTCTCATTATGCGCTTTATTTATGATTCACATTTCACTTCGCAGTCTTGAAAGAGATCTCTCCTCTCCGATAAGTGAACGAGGTATCATTTATGTGAATATTATTCACTAATTGCCCTCTCAACTTGCGTAATGACGTTCTATGGGAAAGAAAACGTCTTAGAAGTGTGGAATAAATTGTATCATCCAACTCGCCGTGTCGCCGCTCGAGGGAGAGAATATTTCTCGAGATATTTCTCGGTTAATTGCTCGGCTCTTGTTTAACATAGCTATTAACAATTTGGTGTGTAAAATAAATTACCGCTTGATATTTCATTTAGAACGTCGTTTAATTAACGTTGACTACACGCCGATCGTTCTACTTTTTACATGTCGCGATACTTGTTCTCGATGCATTTCGCGTAAAGTGGAGCGGCAGCAGGACGTTAAATGAATTTCCATCCTTTTCATTACACGCGTTCCTTAATGGAGAAAAGCATTGGTGATTACCGACGCATTTACTGTATTTTTGCTCACCTAAAATTGTCTTCTCATTTTCCTGACGATACAGCGGAGTGATAACGCACGACAAAACGCGTTTCGGGGGAACATTCGAAATCGCTATTTCTGCGGGCTACCCTTCGTGTGTGGCGTAAAATATCAGGAAAATAACACGCTTGTCTCTTTCATTTCTGCACACATACACGTACGCTAAAACT